AAATCCCATAAAATCTGAAGATATGTTGACAAACGATTTCGACTCTGATGGCGTATCGTCTCTGAACATGAATTGTAACGTGGTATCCGTTATCCCCCATGAGTACTATCAGGAAACCAAAGTTGAAGACTGCGAAGAATCTGATGAAGAGGAGATGGCGAAACACAGACCAGTGTGTTACTACGTCCTCAATAATGGAGTAGTCGAAGATAAAAATGTCTTCTTCGAAAGGCCTGACAGAGCTATGAGAAACCATCTGAAACCTTTGTATATAAGGGCCAAGATCGAAGACACTAGTATTAACAAAGTACTGGTGGATGGAGGGGCTGCAGTTAACTTAATGCCTCATTATATGTTGAAAAGAATAAGGATGTTCGACACAGACATTAAACCTCACAATATGGTGCTGTCTAACTATGAAGGGAAAATAGGTCACACCCTGGGGGTAATTCAAGTAAACTTGACAGCTGGGTCTGTGACAAGACCAACTATGTTCATGGTGATTCCTGCAAAAGCGAATTATAATTTGCTGCTAGGGAGAGAGTGGATACACGGGGTGGGGGAAGTGCCATCGACCATGCATCAAAGATTAACCATATGGAGAGAGGATGGAATTGTAGAAAATATCGAAGGGGATCAAGGTTACTACATGTAGGAGGTAAACGCGGTAGACAGAACCAGCTTTGACAAAAACCTAGCAAACATTGGACCACGTGGAGTGGTAGGAGATTGCTACTTACCAAACAAGAATGTGTTGTATTATCTAACTTTGCTCCCAAATGGATTTCGTTGGGACAAAGAAATTATGGGAGAACTGGACGACCAGGAGAATGTCGAAAGAAGTTCTCCAATACGGCCAACTGGCTGGGACGCAGACATTGACCATGTCTGAACCCTCTTTCTTTGAAAGACTTTCGGCTTATGTAGCCGAGAATAAAAGACAGGCAGCTGTTGAAGCTGCAACAACAAATGTGGCTGGCGAAGCCACTACCAAAGCAACCAAAGTGGCCGAATCTAGAGAAAACCTCAACTCAGAACCGACTGATGAACAAGTTCAAGGTGAGAAGTTTGTCAAGTCACCTGACATTGGGAATGGTTATTCATCATTGTAACTGCTGCACGCACGTCTTGAAGAGACATTTTTTGGGAAGAGATGTCATGATGATATCATTAAAATACGAAAAAGATTCTCTTTGCTGGTCGAAATAACGTAAATCACAAGAAATGCCTATTTCTGCACATATTCGAAACAGACATTTATTGGGGGCAATTTGTTTGTTTGGAATTTCGACCAGGATAATAAAGGAATCATTCATTTAAATTTCCACAAGATGGCTTGAAAAAGCTATAGTCGAAGTATGTTGTTACTGGATCTGAGTCAAAGAAGAGAGTTTGAAAGGACAAGTGTTTTTGTTTTGTCAAAGCGCGCGTTTCGACGGCCACGTGAGAAAGTTGTTGCTGAAGACTTGAGCGGGAATGTTTGAAATTCAAAATAATTTCTTTGGATAAGAAAGACGCGTGGAAGCCTTAGAGTGTCGAAAGACATGCAAGAAGCGACGTGGCTTTTCATTAGAATAATACCGTTATGGTTAGAACATTATAAATAGTTCCTTAGTGTTAGGGAGAAAGAATGATCATAATTCGTACAAAATTACTCATAAAATACTCAAGTACCAAGTTACAGAGAAAGAGTTCATTGAGAATGTACGTATGACATCACACATTTTATCTTTGAAATGCATTTATCAATATAATTTCTTTCGAACCATTGTTTTACGTACTCCTGCAATTGTTCTTAATTTCTTTATGTTCTGTCGAATTGCTTCATTTTCCTGTAAAGCTTTATGTATCAAGTTTCTTTTAAAAGGCTCTTTCCTTTACAATCAAGTCCTTTAATTCCAGTTTTAAGTCTTTTCATTGTCAAGTATTTACATTCAAACCTTTTTTGATTAAGACATTTCGTCCAAACCTTTACATTTGGATTTAATTTTAGAAGTCTTTGTATTTTAAGCCTTTACACAAACACATGCACAAGCACTACGTCGTGTTTAACATAAACCGTCAAGTAAGTGTTACAATTAATGTTAAGACACATGTCCTAAGATCAATCTAGTCGATCCTGCGAGTAACCATACATATCAAATTTGTTTAGAAGACTAGCGGTTGTTTCGCCAGAAATAACCGTGAACACTCATCTGCACCTGTTTGAAGCATGACATATTTGCACAGATAGGTTTTTGACAAGCATTAAAATTCAGTTCTTTCACCTTTGCCCTCACAAACACGACGGACCGCCCACTTTTTCACTCCTAATTTTAAGAGTGTGTTTTTCTCTAAATTTTAGGTTTGAATTCGTTATCGATTTTAAATTAATTCATACTTCAACTGTATTAATGTAATTGATCCTAAACTTATTATTTATAAAAGAATTAATTACCTTATTTATGAATATATTAAAAGTTTTGATTTTGTAAAGTGTTTAATGAATATGCACTGACGGTGTAAAATAATTTTACACGATCATTCAATAGTAAACCAACAATCTGCCATGTTATTAAAAAAATTTAAAATAAAAAGTGATGTATCCTGACTAGGGGTGGCAAAACGGGTCGGGCCCGCCAGACCAACCGTTTAACCCATCATTTTTGACGGGCTGGGCTGAGATTTTCGGCTTGGTACCTTAAGTTGACCTGCCCCGCCTAATCTGCTTTAAAAAGTGAGCTTAGGCAGGGCGGAGCGGGTTTGCCAGCGGACTTTTTGTTACAACTTTTTATTTTTTACTTAGAATTAAGACAACTTTAAATATAAAAAACAACAATATTCTCTTTGAGTTATGGTGATTGAATTACATTCTAAATTATTATGACAAATTCAATTATAATTGTAAGGTTCTTTATATAACTCTCTAATACATGTATTGGTTGGAAAAATTTGAAATACAAGAAAGTTGTATGGCATGAAGAATTATTAAGTTGTCAATACATTAACTCACATGTTTTCTTTAGAAATAAATGTTAATTTTAAGTAAAGGAAGAATTCGATTAGAGTATACGTGTGACAAATTTAAGATATACTAGTTCATATGACGTAAACAATGAGAAAGTTGGGTGTTAATATTTTATACACTATTATTTTATGAATCTGTGATGTTTTATGCACTGTAATGTTATCATTATTTGTCTTGTGTAAATTATTAATTGGGTTATTTTAGTAATTAGTTTTAAAATAGGATTATGATGATATATGTTGTTTATTTATTTATTTTGATATATTTTTTATTGTGCTAGAGTTTATTTTGGTATATTTTTCTTGAAATTGATCTTTATCTATTTTATTTTTTTAAGTGTTTGGACTTAAGACATGTTAAAGCTATATTATGCGTTGTTAAAAAAATATCTTTTGTCGGCTTCTTTAGTAATGATTCAAATTTTTGTAAATTATGTAATAAATTAAATTGTAAAATAAAAAAACTAAAAAAATTAGCGGGCCGACCCGCCAACTTGTTAGTAAATAGGACGAACTTGACTTTTGCGCTCAGATGCCTAAGTTTGTCCGCCCCGCTCCACTTCACTTTTGTACGGACTTAAACGAGACGGGTCTAAACGGGACGAACTGTCCACTTTACCACCCCTAATCTTGATACATGATCATAATTCATTGATAATGTAAAATTAATTTACATTATCAGTGCATTATTCATTTTCTCTTTTACAAAATAGATTGATATTGTAAATGTGATATATTTGAAGATATTTAAATTTGAGAAACATTATCAACAATAACAAGTTTTTAAAGTTAATTCTAATTTAAATTTGAGAAACATTATCAATAATAACAAGTTTGTAATGCTAATTCTAATTTGTATTGGAAAAAGTTTAGGCTCAACTTTCATGTTAAGTGGGACTAGGGTTTTATCTTATAAATACATAAATTATATCTCATTTATCTCGTTACACTGAAACATATTTGTTAGAGTTTTGCCCCATTAAAAATCTAAATATTAAAACACATAATAATATGTTTGTTTGAGTTTTGTCCTATTAAAAATCCTAAATATTAAAACACATAATAAGTAAAAAGAAAAGACTCAATTTAATATTTCGATCATTTTGAAAATGAGAGTTAGATCTTGTGTTGAATCTTATATGGAAGACTCACATTTGTAGGAAAGCGAGAGTTGGATTCCATTATAGAGACGTGGAAGACTCACATTTATGGGAGAGATTGTTGAATACAAGTGTGACTGATTAAGTCTCACATTGCCTATAAATAGATGGAATGTTAAATTTATAAGAGAGATAATTCATATATCTAATGGTTTAAAGTTTAGATAGAGATGTGACATCTCCCTCTTTTGTAATCCTAGAACATTGATCTCGATGTCGTTCCGGTCTTCCCGATCTCCCCAACAAGAGTAATATATGTTTAATGATCTTGTGGTTAATTAAAATCACATTGTAAAAGTGTAAATTGAAGAAGAAAAACAAAATCTCTAGAAGTTGCACGTTACAACATCCAAATTACATGTAGTCTTAAACTTGTTTAGTACGATTTTGGTTTTAACTTTAAAATAGCTCAACATCCTTGAACCATTCATGTCATATTTGCATTGGCACTATACAAGATGTTTGACAAAATGTTTGGTTAAAAGTAATAGGCATGTGATGTGATTCATGTGAACTTCAGATCATTATCCAAATCTGTGTGTAGTTTACAAAAAAGAACAAAGATATTTATCATTTCTTCAATTTTCTATATTGTACACATTTGACTTATCACAAATCTTAATCTGATTCTGAACTCTAATCTGTGTGCTCAGCTGCTATATATAACTATAAGCCATATCTTGAGATAGCAACTCAAACTGTACTTATTATACAACAGAAAAAATACAGCCTCAACAACAATGATACTACAAAATAAACTCAGCATTATCCAAACTATAGCTTATAAAACAAACACTACATTTTATAACAGAAGAACTGTTGATAGTGTTGTTGCTATTTTGCATTGAATTGCATGACAGCATCTTTCGTAGGTAGTGCAGGAATTGCCCCTCTATCTGTCACCGTGATCGCGCCACATACATTGGCGAAATATAGCGCTTCTTGGAGACGCTTCTCGTCCTGCCACATAAAATAACTTCAATAACTCCAAACATTCTCAGCTTTTTCAGAATCAACAACCGGGATGTCTAAAAAATCTGAATTACCTTGAAAATACTTGGGTCAGAAGCTATCTTGTAGAGAATCCCACTAACAAATGCGTCACCAGCACCAGTTGTGTCAACGGGTTTAACTTTTACACCTCTGACTTTTCCTTTAAAATCCTGCGCAGAAATTTAGCAATCACTATTAGTTGAACGCTGGTTACTCATGTGACAAAATAAAGTTGTGAAATATTGAACCTCGAAGCTTACCTTGGTGTAATATCTACAACCCTCTGACCCTTCAGTAACAATTAGAAGCTTGAGACTAGGATGAAAAAGCTTGTTTAATACAACATTATCGTCATAAGGATCATCGCCGCCTGTTAAAAACGTAATCTCATCTTCACTGACCTGCAATACGTAGGAAATGCTGGAATGCTTATTCTCAAAACAAAACAGAAAAGTAAAAATCTAGCCAAACAAAATTTACCTTTATGACATCGGCTAGATCCCATATGCTCATTATACCATCCCGAGCAGCCTCGGGTGATGGCCATAGTGCTAATCTCAAATTCGGATCATACGAGAGAATGCAATCAGAGTCTTTAGCAATTCTCAAGGCAGCAAGATGAGCTGACTTGATTGGCTCGTCAATCAAACTGATGGAACCGTAATGGAATATTTTAGCCTGCAATCGAAATTAAAAACATACACAGACTTAAACTAAAGGTTCTTTAACCCCAAAATATATAAACAGACTAAGAAATTCAAGACACCTTCTCAATGAGGTTGTGATCAAGCTCTGACTCATGCAGGAGCATATCAGCACTAGGATTTCGGAAAAACAAGAACTCGCGCTCGCCGTCTGCTCTAAGTGTAACAAAAGCCAATGCAGTTCTTGCAATAGAATCATACCGCATGCCAGATATACCAACGTTATTTTGCTTCAAAATATCGGCTAACATATAACCAAATTCATCTGCTCCAACCTAAAACAAATACAGTAATCGATTTCATATAACCTAACACATCACAGATTTCTTAAATACGAAGATTCGAACAACTCAAACATGTAAGTCCTGGAGATAGTAACGAAAAACCAAATAATCGTTCACCTTGCCTATAAATGCAGACGAACCCCCCAACCTAGAGATGCCAACTGCAACATTCGCAGGAGCACCACCAGGAGCTTTCTTGAAAGCGGGCGCTTCAGCTAGCGACACTCCACCAACTGTCGGCACAAAATCTATCAACAACTCACCAAAACAAACAACCAGTCCACTTGTTTCATCGCATCCTTCTGTCACGCGATCATCAGATTTACCTGCAAACATAGTAGGCCTTAGATCAACATGAATTCATGCCTCAGAAAATTTAACTACAGAAAACTAAACTAAATACGACAGATTCATACATTAAATAGTATTAAATCCCTAGAAGAAAAAAAAGAATCATTTCACATGAAAGCCACTACCAACTATGATAACCTTCACATGGAATTGGTGATTAGACAAACCAGTTTGTGAACTAGATCACAACTAAATTTTCAAAACTTAGACCCATTTATTATTAAACTTTATCTTTCACATGTTCTGTTCGTCAAGTAACAAGCATCACACCCCATAAGATAAAAATGCATTCTTTAGCTCAAATAGAATAAAAACAGTAACCCATTATCCGAAAAATCTCAAAGATGCAATCTTTAGCTCAAAAAACCCAGATACCAATACCAACAATGGGTAATGAATATTGCAAAACAAGAAGAGTTTGAAAGGAAAGATGAAAAACCTGAGGGGGTAAATTGAGCCATTTGAGCCAAGAAACAGAGTGTTGCAATTGAATAGTTTAGAGTTTACACAGAAAAAGGAAGGGATTATGCAGTGCAATGCAATACAATGCGTGTAAGAGATGAATCTGTTGATTTTAAAGAACGGAAATTTGTATTTTTGTATTGAAAAGGGAAGATTCTACACCATGTGAAGTTGGAAACATAAAACCTGGATGGTATTTTTGTTTATTTTTTGGAATACTCTCTTCTTTTCTTGTTATAGGAAAATAAAGTCGGTGGGAATGCTTAATCTTTCAAGTTTATGAAATTGTACTTTTGTTTTTTAAATTAAATAAATATTAGTCAATTTAGTCACCTTTCTAAATTTAAGATCGTAAATTTGAAAATTTTAGGTTTTTTTTAATGTTTGCGGAGAATATTCAAGATGATATGTATCAATTTGAAGTTGCAAGAAGGTTATGTGGTGAAGAAATTGACTTTATAAAATTGATTTAGATTTAAAAGTGGACTCAAAGTAAACTGATTTAGGTTTGAATAAATATATATAAAGTAAATTGAATAAAAAGTTTCAGTATAAAAATTATATTTAAATTTAAAAACTACATATCAAATCTCATGTAGAATTAATTTAAAAAAAATAAAGAAATCAAATATATCAAAATCAAAATTAATTATTTACATAAGAATCAATGTTGGATGTTCCAAACATGAAAACAAACATATATTGTGATCAATATGTCCATAATCGAGGCGTAAATGATAATTATTTGTGGTTTGTTGTTAAGATTAAAGCACATACGAGAGTCCAATTTAAAAGACTAGTTCGATAAGTGAAATAATCTCTACTTAAATATTATATTAAACACTTATATTTACTCAATGTGAACTCTTAAAATTGTCATGTCTTTTAAGAATAGGCGTTCATGAAAGACTTTACTCTACAAACAATGACATAATGATAGCTCTTTCTATTTTCATGATATCACTCACCTATTAATGTTTATGGGAGCACTTTAATTTACGTAGAAGTATGTCTTAAAATCTTTGAGTGATAAAGAGAAATAACACATATTTTAGTATTATTAGAAGTAGAAAAGCTAAAAAGCCGCAAGAATATCAATAGATGATGTCGGAGCCACAAAGTTAGGTCTGGCACGCGGCGGGTCCAGTCTAGACTATTTGCGAATATCAGATTTGATCAGTTCGATTGGCGGATTTATTTGTTAATGTTAGAATATTATAAATATATTTATATTAATTTAGAGATACTCTAAAATGCATAAAGATGCTTTTAATATTAATTTAAAAGATAAATAAGATATTTATAATATTCTAAATTAGTATAAAAGGTATTATAAAATATTTATAATATTTTTTATTCTAACATTTAATGGGTTATGTTTGTACTCGTTAAGGATCGATTAGATTTTAATAATTATAAATATGTACTTTATCATTCTTGTCTTGATAATCTTTAGAATTTTAGAGCTAAAGACAGAGAGAAGGGTCAAGAATCATCGGTAAACTTAGACAGATATTGGTTGAAATTCCTTTAAGTTTTTGGAATTCACGAAACCTTTAGAGGTATATAAGGGGATTTAGAAACACTTCTAAAAATCATGGGCTTGTGTGATTCATATATAGAGTGTTTGAGAGATTGAGAAATACTTGGATAAAATATAGGGTTTGTTCTTGGGAACTTGGATGACTATTTTCTTGTAACTCGTTGTAATATTTTGTAACAACTTTTGAAAGTATAGTGAATCGCGTAATTGATTTCTCTATCTATCTATTTATCTCTCTCTCACACACACATACATAATAGATCGTTTAATCGAATTGGATAAACAAGTTATTGAGTTTCTTGTCTTTTATCTTTTTCTTTTTTGTTATGGATTTGATTTTACTTTTGGCAAGTTATTATGTTACTTTAGTTCATTTATTTTGGTTGGCATTTTTCTTTATCCCCCACACATCAAATTTCTTAGTGTGTTTGAACTCTGAATAATTCTTCTGAAGTATTTAAACTATTATATCATTATTTTTCACAAGTGACATCCACCGTGAGGAAATGGGTGTTTTTACAAGTGAGAACCATAGGTAAATGGGAGATCGAGAAGTCTTTCGGAGACAATAATTTTGAGTTGTGGAAAGTGAAGATGCAAACAGTTTTAACTCAAGATAAGTGTATTGAAGCATTGAAGGGTGATGCATCAATGTGCACGTGTAACACAAGTTGAGAAGACCGAGATGGTGGATAAGGATAAGAGTGTTATTATCGTGTGCCTTGAGGATAAATTCTAAGGTAAATCACTAGGGAGAAGAATGTGAATTTAATGTGGGCAAAAATTGAATTATTGTATATGACCAAGTTTTTGTTTTATAAGTTCAGTATGAAACAATAACTCTACTCATTCTGAATGATAAAGAACAAATCTATGAAGGAGTATTTGACTAAATTTCCCAAGGTTATTAACGATCTTGAGAATTTTGACATGAAGATTGATGATGAGGACAAGACTTTACTCTTGTTAAATTCATTACCCTAATCCTGTGAGCATATTAAGGATTTTCATTCTTTATAACAAGGAATGTAGTATTATTTTGAATGAGTCCAGATCACTGTGAGATCTAAAAAAACTCAAAGGTGGAAGATTTGAGGATTGATGATAGTGGTGAATGTTACTACTAAAGGTTGTTTCAGAGCACTTTAATGAGTTTTTCAAAAGACAGGGATAAAAACAGATGTTACCACTAAGTTGTCATTGAGTTTCGGGGGTAAGATTTGAAGGTGGAGAAAACACTTAGAAAGGGGTGGGGGGGGGGGGGGTTGAATAAGTGACTCTTTTTCTTTTCAAAATAAAGCTCAAAAATAAATGAAAGGCAAGGTTATTTTTATCCTGGTTCGTTTGAACTCAAACTACTCCAGTCCACCCGCCAAGGTGATTTCGCCTTTCTCAACAAGGACTTAATCCACTATAATCAACGGATTACAATCACACGACAACTGTTGTGACTAACAATGCACAAGTAACCTTACAAGTGACTAACACCACTAAGACTTAACTAGTCCTAGCCTACTTGAGAATTCTGACCAACCTTGGTCTCTCAAGGAACAATTACAAGAGTTTAATCTTACAGATAGTGAAATAAGATTTGCTTCTAATCAAGCTATATCACAACTGTGATTTTTCACTTAGAATAAATTGCACAAAGTGTATGAATAATGTTTGTGAGCCCAAAATATTTTGTGTTGCTTTTTCTTCTTTTGAATTTGTTCAGTTCTATTCAGAACTTCAGATGTTCAATCTTTCAGCGTTTCAGCAATAGTGCGTTTGAACGGTTAATTGGCTTGTAATAAATGTCCTTCTATATATAGTAAGAACAAAATGACCGTTGCTTCCTTCAAAAAGTGGAGAGCATTAAATGCTTGTGTGTTTCCTTGCATTATTCTATTTTCCAAGAAACTAGCTTAGACACTTGAGTGCTTACAGCCGTCTTTGCATTAAATGAGCAAACGAAACTTGTAAGAACATGTTTCCTGAAGCTTGACAAGACAAGTTGGCTTTTGCATTCTTTCAGAACTTGCTTCAACATCTTGAATTCAGAACATGCTTTGCTTATCTTCTGAACAATGTTTTGCTTACTAAGAACTTGATCAGCGCTTGCTTTCATATAAACTTCTGAACAACACTTGCTTTCAAGTAATCTTCTGAACAAGGAATCCTGATAAGTGTTAGAAGATGCAATTAAAATAATTGTCTTACCAGAGTCAGCATCAGCAGTTGTGCTTAAAGCAAATAGTTCTTTCATTTAAAGAACTTCTTCATATAATTTTTAGCTCAGCAAATCAAAATGCTTCTGTCAGAACATTATCTGAAACATTCAAATACATTCATCAGAGTATAAATCATCTAAAATATAATTTATTGTTATCATCAAAACTCTGAGATAGATCATAACTAATCTTGTTCTAACAATCTCCCCCTTTTTGATGATGACAAAAATTAATCAGATATAGAAATAAAATATAATAAGAGATAAGAATCTTCCCTTGAAATGAATATTTCTATATATAAAACTTCCTGAGATTATTTATCAGAGCATTGAAAATATCTTCTTGTATTTATTCAGAACTTCTTTATAAAGATAATGTTCAGCTGGAATACTCTTTCAGAGTTAAAATGATAGCTGCAAAAAAATTCTTTTGCACAAAAAGAAATCTTGTATTTTGTTAGAATGTCTGAGACTTAGTCTCATAACTGTTAATCAGAGATTAGATAAAAATACTCATTTTCTCCCCCTTTTTGGCATAATCAAAAAGTAAATAAAAATTGAAGAGCTTAAAAAGTTTTCATAAAATAGCAAAAGATATCCAGAAGTACAAAAAAACAAACAAAAGACAAGAAACAGAAAGACATTAGGACTTCTTAGTAACAAGAGACATCAGAAGATTCTTGATCTCAGGCATATTCTTCTTGTTTCATCATCCAGTTCTTGATTTCTTGATTTATCTGGTCTTGCTTATCTAAACACTCATTAATGACTCCATTCTCCCTCTTGAGCTCATTCAGAGTATCCATGATGAGTGATGTAGGAGCAGAGGATGACGAAGCTTTAGCAGAAACATCCTTTGGAGCAACAATCGTTGAGTCAGAATGCATAAAGGTTGAAAGCAGAGTGCCCAAATCCATCACAAGAGTTGGCACTAGTTCAAGTTCAGCTTTTGCAGAAGGTTGATTCAACAGAACAATAGCCAGAGGGTTTGAATCGTCAGAGGTATCTTGAGATTCATCTTCTGATATGTCCATTTCATCAGCTGGTGCATCAGCAATCATTAGAGAATACTTCTTATTCCAAATGTCAGCAGCTTCTGACTTGAATGCATGCAGATGTTTGGAAAAGTTGTCCAGCACCTGAAAGTGACATAAGTCTTGTAGCTTCAGTGACTCAGCATCAAAAGTTCTTCTGAAGGTTTCCCATAGAAGATCTGTTGCAGCTGGGTTCACACTTCTGGAGTT